AAGCCATCTAAAAGTGGATCACAGTGATATTCTTTTACAAAACCAGCTCCACACATATTTTCCAAGAATTCGCTTGCTGATTGGCTCATAAACATGCAAGTGGGCGTCGCCATCCACCCACACACATCTATTTTTCATCTAGTGATCGAATTAAATATTTTGGCACTAATTTTCTGGAGCCTATCATGTGTCCACCCAAGTAAATAAATTCAGCACGCAAACTCATATCGCTAGCGAGAAAGTGACCAGCAATCAATCGCCTACTAAATTCACGTCACAGAAATTCTTATGTCTAAGTTACTAATCCCAGCCTTCAGAAAGAACACTTTTAGCTATACGCTACCACTTTTACATCAATGTCAATTTTCGTGCTAAAAGCGGATCACAGCTTCATACACATGTTTCTAAAAACCTGAACTTCTTATTGGACAATAAATATTAAAATTATCTTGTGTATCTTTACGTACATTGTTCTCAATAAGCAACACAAATCATATCAGGCTCCAGACTGAGTTTTGTAAGGCGCTTTCTGAGTGGTTAACAGATATTAAAAAACAATTTACCTGCTCATCACTACGTCCAAATAACATCAACCTAGTTTTTGACCTGATGAAAAAACAATGCTCTCAGGATCCAATCACGTGATTTAAAAACATAAATTGAAGGTACGAGCGAACCCAGTCAGTGAGAATTTACGACGACTAGCATTTGCTAAACGAGTTCACGACGCTTGTATTATTACTGCAGCGAAGTACAAAGTTAGAATCTCAAGTTCTTTAACACGAAATAACTTCGCTGTAATTCAAGCTAAAATATCAACGAAACATTTCACTCACCAATTTCTGCAACTTACTAAAACTAAAACTATTTAATTACGTTATTGAATCTTACTAAACTTAAGTACAAACAATTACGAACAATACTTTCAACTACGAGCAACGAAAACAAACAGAACATTCACTTCTCCAACTTCTTTGAAGCTAAAAGTTTATCAACATATTTTCAGCTTTACAAGATTCTTTAAACTCTCTTTCAGTGAACGTTTTGAATGACAAGATAATTCAGCTTTTTGTGTGCTCAGATAAAAAAAAAATTTTAGTCGAAAAACTTTAGCCCAGTCAAAGTATATTAATAGTTATTGTATTTGTTCTTCACACAATACAAGGGAAACCACTTCGTGTGACTTAATCGTTATTGTCATTAACAGAATTACAGTGTAACCCGGATATAAGAAAGTTGTCGGGACCGGAGAAGTCTCTTATATCCGGGTTTCTCTTATATCCGGGTTTGGTCTAATTTATATACATTAACACAGGCTCTAATTTGGGACCAGAGAAAATCTCTCTTATATCGGGGTTTCTCTTATATCCGGGTTCTAGGTACCTCCGTTTATTTCGCGAAAATCTAATACAGCATGACAAGAACGGTCTGAAAATTAACGAAAAAAATTTTTTTCATGATAAAAGTATATTTCATTATTGAGAAGAAACACTAAAGTATTTTTTGAGTAATTTTTGAAATTTTTTACTCATTCTTAGCATGTCCGAAATTTTAGTTAAAAAACTTGTTTACAGAAAAAACGAAAAAAAGCTCTATATCAGCCATATTTTTTAAAATTTTAAAAATAAGTTAAATTCTTCGTTTAAAATTCGTTTAAAAATTAATTATACGTATTTCAATATTTATTCGAAGAAATTTAGAAAATTTGAAGTTTATTTAAAATATTTTGAAAGAAACTTTTACTTACTTTCTTCGTAGAAAAATGTTTTTAAAGATAAAAGAGCCGATCTTCACGTTGCCGTTGATTGACAGAGTGCCGAGTGATGACATCTATAAATTATTGACAGCTGACGTGAGATTCGAGTTCCCATACGGAAGCACAGAATGGACATATTATTTTTTTAAGCGGACCTACTTAAGTAGTAACTTGTAATATTTAAAGTAAAAAAACTTTCGCCATTACAATTTTTTTTTGTTAAGTACTATGTACCATAAGTTTGTTGATACTATCTGGAGAAATTATAAATACTATTAAAAAAAATTAAAATACAAGTGCTGCACTGCTGTTTGAGGGCCCATATAGACCCCTCTAAAGTCAATTCAGATTTGCTATTATAAAAAAAATTCTATCCCCAGTAAAATAATCAAACATAGTAAAAGTCATTTTGTCACAGCCTATATTCTCGGAAAAAATAAATAAATGGATTCTTATATTTTTACGTAATAAAAATGACTTATCTGGAAAAATACCAGGAAAGTTTATCTGAATCCCATGAAACTAGGTATTTTCTGAAAGAAAACAATATGTTTCATTTAAAAGTAAAATTGGCCAGTGTAAATGACTGAAAAGTTTTTAGTTTTCTAGAGGCAAAATGTGAATCTTACTTATTATAAAACCCAGGTTGTGTGTGTTACGTTTATTGGATCGAATTTCCTACATTTTTCAACCAATTTCAACCAAACATTACAGGACTACGAGGAAAACTAGATGAAAGTACCTATTTTAACTTAATGAAAATGATGCACACGTGTTTCAGCAGGAACAGTTTGCTAAATTAAAGGGACGTATAGAGCGAAGAACAACCCTTACTAGACAGAAAATCAATCCACGTGACGTTATTTTTATTGCACGCACCAAACTTCCGGTCTTCCGTAGATTTCATTGGTAAACACATTATTGACAAATTAATTTTTTTAATATACGAAGACTCATTAGTTTGTAATAAGCTTTGGAAATTATAATCTGTAAATATATATCTACTTAAAAACAACATCCGTTAAGCTGTACACACTTTTCCATAATTTTAGAAGAATTAACAACATAATGTAAAAATAAAAACAATGGTTGCAGAAATAAAAAAATAATTGTAGGTAATTGTTTTAAAAATTCATTTTTCATCGAAATATCTTTTTGCTTTCAGACAATATTGTCCATGTTTATTGGAATAAATAAAAGCAATTAAAAGCTTTGGAAATTAAATAATATTTTTGTTTTATTGAGTTTTTGTATGTTACACTTCAGAGACGATTTTCAGGTAGAAGGGCTCCAACTAAAAAAAAACAAAAACATGATTTTGTTTCCTCAAAGCATTGTGCTTTTAACTGATATAATCACTAAACTCCTCAGAATTGAAATTATAGAGTTTTCGTACAATTAGTTAGAGTGGGTAAATACATATGAAAAAAAAAAATTTCTGCGATGACTTTACTAAAAAAAAATGTATTTATAATAAGTTCCATCATTTGTAAATAGTTTCTGAAAATTTCATTAAAATCCGACAATTATTTTCATTTTTGCAAGATTTTCCAAATTAATGTGTGTCAAACGGGAAAAAAACGCGCCAAAATGTTTATACGTTAATTTATCAGCCAAGCTGATAAAAAGAGAAACAAGGTCTTTTAATCAAAATTTACAATGTTCTAAAAAAGAAGGAAAAATTTCAAAAAATAAGTAAAAAATACTTTGATCTTTCCTCTAAAAAGTAACATAAGCATTTAGACGCGAAAATTTTGTTTTCATCAACTTTGGCGTCTTTTTAATCATGCTATGCTCTTTTTTTAGCGATCCAACGGAGTTACAGTACTTGTTTCAATACATGTTTTGCTTGTTGATTTTCATTGATCTCTCGTCATTCCTTTTTGTGTTTTCTTTACAAATTTAATGTGGAATGACAATGTAAAAACGCAACCTTGATCAAAAACCCTTCTGATCCTTTTCTAACCAACACCATTAGCTACCCAACAACATCATAAGCACAAACAAATCTAAGTAGTAAGTGAAGCTGAAGAAAAACGCGACACACGAAAACCAACTTTATCCACTTAGTCATACATCTTCTACTTCAAACTACAACTTTTCTTGATATATAAAAATTTATATATCGTTATATCACTATATCTATTTCAGTCTCTTCATCTATCTAGATATCTATCGATCGAGTTCTTCCTTCACTCACATCTCACAACCGTCCTTGATAAGATAAAAAACTACATATGTGTCCTGGGTAAGACGATAAACTACAGCAAGACCTCTGATCAGGAGGTTTTGAAGATCGTGGAACCAGATCTTAATTGCTGATGCTCCTAAGCCCACCTTACCTTGGTAGTAGCATTAGGGTCCCAGCTATGGGCAAATAGTTCACCCCCAAACTAAGGTCAAACTCAAAAGTCAAAAAAACACTATGAAAGTGTAAAAAATAGATTTTTTTAACTAGCTATACATTTTTGGAAAAACTTATTACTACCAATGAATTTTTCAAGAAAAAATTATTACCAGCAATACATTCTTGAAAAATAATATTACCAGTTATACATTAAAAAAAAAATATTACCAGCAATAAAAATTTTGTCGGCATTAAATAACCCACTGAGTTTGATATGCCCGTAAAACAAAAAACCAAACCAAACCACATCTCACAGAGCAAATGTCAGCGGAGATTATCGAGATCAACCGAAGATTGTCGAAGATTACCGAAGAAAAAGCGTCGGGTCGACAGTCGAAGAAAAAGTCCACAAGAAAGAAGTTTGCTGAGACAAAAAGGTGAGCGAAAAAATATTTCTTTTTTTGTTTGGCGAAACATCGGCATATTTTATCGAAAAAATTTTCAAGTTGAATTTATTTTTTCTTCTTACTCATCAAATAATGTTTTTAATCTTTTTTTTATGTGAAACTTTTATTTTTCTTTGAAGAAAAAAAATGAAACTTAAAATTGCAGACGACATTGAAGCGGAATGAAAAATTGATCTTTTTTTCAAATGTTTGCTGATTTTTGACTTAACAAATTTCATTTTCAAGTCAATTTTTGAAAGATTTTCGGCCAAAATGAAAATAAAAACGAAATAAAAACAAATGAGTAAAGATTTGAATGGAAATTAAAAGAAAAATATTGCATTTATTTTGTTTTTAAAAAATTACAAAAGATTTGAAAAATAGTATTAAATAAAAAATGTGCTCGCAATTAATTTGATTGTAGTATTGATATTAGTGTATAATTGTAAATATGTCTATCGATGTCAGTCTGTTCATATATCTATCTACCTCAGTTCATAGTTCATATCTATCTATCTATCTATCTATCTATCTATCTATCTATCTATCTATCTATCTATCTATCTATCTATCTCAGTTCATTATGTATCTTTCTATCTATCTATCTCTGTTCATAACTATCTATCTCAGGGTGTTCATATTTATTATCAATATATGTATCTATGTATATATGCATATTTACACAACCACACACACACACACATCAGTCTGTTCATATCTATCAATCTATCTCTTTATCTCACTCAATCTGTTCATTATCTACCTATCTATATATACACACACACATACATACATATATATATATATATATATATATATATATATATATATATATATATAATGTATCTATCTATCTATCTATCTATATCAGTGTGTTCCTTATCTATCTTTCTATCAATCTATCTCATTCTATTCATATCTATCTATCTATGGCATTTTTTCCTTGAAAATGGCATAAATCTCCCCTCTCCACTTGAGATTTTTCCAGAAATGTTTATTTTGTAATGGTGACTTTGCATAGCTTAGCATGATTTGACCAATAGCAATTCACGTGCTGAATGGTCAGACTGGAAGAAGCCATTTGACTGGGTAACTGAGGTCAAAGCAAAGAACACTAATTGGTCAGTCGGCCATGGTGTTTGTATGATAAAAGAGGGCAGAAGCAGTTGGGAGAGCAATTTTTGCATTGTTGACGTGTGGGAAATCAAGAATGGCAGATAGAAAAAGAAGTATTTTGTGTTGCATGTGCAATGCCAGAGGAACACAAGTTCATTTAATCACACTATCTATCTCAGGCTGTTCATATCTAGTGATCTATCTATCTCTCTTCATATCTATCTATCTATCTATCTATCTATCTATCTATCTATCTATCTATCTATCTATCTATCTATCTATCTATCTCTGTATGTTCATATCTATCTATCTCAGTTTATATATCTATCTATCTATCTATCTATCTATCTATCTATCTATCTATCTATCTATCTATCTATCACAGTCTGTCTTCTTAAAACAAAACTGCCTTTTTTCTTATCTCCATTTTGTTTTCTTCCCTAGGACTCTGAACTACAAAAACATAAAAATGCAGGTAAGTCATGAACTTGATTTTCCTCAGATTATCTCAAATCAATTGAAAACAGTTTGCCAATAAACATTTGGGCCTCCATTTTAAGCTAATTATTTTCCTTGGGTGAAAGGAAGTTGATCAAATTATGAAAGAACAGCTCAGTATCATACAAAAATTCTCTAAGTTTTAATTAATGTGTCAAATAGTATGAATGTTAATCAGACCCTTTGAATTAATAATAATAATAAAATATTGTTAATAATAATAATAATAATAATAATAATAATAATAATAAAAATTGTTCTGACAAGTACAGCCCACACCTTACGAAGGGCTTTATCTATGTAATTTTTTTTTTTTTTTTTTTCAGTGGAAAAATATGACGCCATTTCTAACCTTAGGTCCCTGGGTGGGACCCGGAAAGAAATGTGTAAATGCCAGAAATCAAAGAAAATGAAAATAACAATAATAATAATAATAATAACAATAATAAATGCCCTGGTGGAGACAGCAGGTGTGGCTCTTACAGCTTCTAATCTTAATTTATTTGAGGTGTTATATAAATCTTTTGTCTTGGTGAATTAAGATGGACTATAGTAAATATTCTATTCAGTGAATACTGCTGCCATATCTGGACTGGAGCTGCACAGTCTTCGCATTCCAGCTTTGATATAGTTCAGAACATCTAAACGGTCTTGTGGGTAATGAATTATTTTTCACCCTACAACTCCTTTTCCCACCTTACAAGCCCACTTACTATTTTTACGGCAAATGTTCTGATGGGCTACATTCTTTCATTTCAGCAGATCAGACCTTTTGAGCTATGACCTGCCATCCCATGTACGCAGGTTCGAATCATCCTCATTCCCTTTGTATTCCATCATTAAGAAGACAGTTCTTCTTCCCAAAAACCATGACTTTTTCAAACATACTCCCAAGAGGATGCTTTCCTGATCATTGTAATCTTAACCTCTTCAAATCTAGGGGAACTCTTGTCTTTTCTACAAATCCTCATAAATTGCACTTCTTACCACCTCCTGTTATGTTCATACAAAACTTCATTCAGTAACACTCTACCTTGAGTGGCTCTTGGGCCTTGTAGTGAGCGACTATTTGTAAAAAAATACCCCCCCCCAAAAAAAACAGATTCACTTTTCAGTTGCTTGACTTGAACCTGTTGGGTATGTACCTAGGAGTAGGGGAGGGGTGATGCTTTGTGAGTCTCTTTTCATGAGTGGGAGTAGCTGGAGGGCATCATAGCTGGGTGTTAAAAGTTTTTTTGTTTTGTTTTTTTTTTTTTTTTTTTTGAGATGAAGTAGCCAAGGAAACTTGGGAGTTCCTTCTAAGTACTTAGGAACATCCTCGACAGACACTTACTTGACCTGAAGGTATTTCCACCTGGAATCCCACTCATTACCACACAGCACACATTTGTCTGCAATTCATATGCCTGGTATACCTGTATCAGCGTGGGTGTCATGGTGGACTTTATATATATTGAACCCAGTGTCAATTTTTGGCATGTTGCTCTCTCAATTAAAATAAAATTCATGATAGGATTGAAAGATATGTCAGTGTTATAGTGCAATACAGTTTGAAGAACTATGTCACTTCAAATACATGACTATTTCTGTTATTGTGTGGAAAATGTTTATGATGAAGAATGGCACTGTCAAACATTTCAGTAAAATCCCTGGTAATCTTTTTTTCTATGAGATTACAAAAATAGTGTTTACTATCATCCTCATCATCATCAGGCCTATGATTGGGTGTGGTTGTAGGGTTACTCTGCTACTGAACCCCTGACAAGAAAGATCTGTCCATATATCCAGAGAAGCATTAAGTCATGTTGAGCATGTCCTATGTAAAATCATCATCATCATCATCATCAGTCCCATGATGGGATGTGGTCATAGGGTTGTTGTACTACTGAACACCTGACTAGATCTGTCTATATATCCGGAGAGACATTCATTCATGTCTCGTCTTGTGCAAATCAACCTGGCAGAACAGAGCTTTCAATTAAGAACATTTTATTCAAATTTCATTGATGATTCTATTTCTGTTTTATAACCTTTAGCAATGAAACCCAAATTTGTGCAAGGAAAGGTGGATTATTTTCACTGAGCCTAAATTCTTGTGGCTGGTGACGGCATTTCTATCATAAAGTTCTATCTGCCCTGTGCATATCAAATTTTCTAAGCCTGCTTTCCTCATTATGTGCCCTAGAAATTTCATCTGTCTCTTCCTGAGGTAAAGTATAAGTTTCTTTTTTTTTATATTTTCTCTAAAACTTTGTCATTGCTCACATGTTTGGTCCATAGTATTCTCAGCATCTTTCTGTAGATTCAAGTCTCTTCTTCATCTGTGTGGGGATTGTCCAGCATTCACTGTGACTGATATTATACTCAATACTTTTTATGTTGATATTATATTCAATACTCTTTATGTTGTTTCTTACAAAATTTTCTTGTTTCTTATTGCTCTGCTTAGCTTTTAGGATGCATCTTTGGCAATCCCAATGCACATTCAGATAAGCAACAAAAATATTGAAAAATGCTCTGTGTACTGAATCACATTTTGTTTCTGCGAGGAACAAGAAAACTTACCTCATGCAAAGCGAATTTGCTTGGTTTGTCAGGCCCTGTTGAAAGATCGTGACTGGCATTAAAAGAGAAATGGATTGTTCTGAAATTCCTATATTGCGGGTAGATGTACAAAGGAAAAAAAATAAAAAAGACTAAGAATTCAAACCAGCTTGAATTTATAAAATAGGAAGTCTCAGGCGAACGAGAAGTAGGTCTTGTATGTAAATTTAAGTTGCCCCCCGCCATTGCAAGCATAAATAGCGAGTCTGTGAGGAAGACGGCAGAACATTTGTTGGTGTGATGGCGTACGTGCGTACTTGCGACAGTTCAGTTGTTAGAGCAGAAGACTGGAAAAGAAAGCAAGCACTTTAATCCATTTCAGTCATCGCAAATGACAGGCAAACTGAATTACCCACAGTTTCACTAAATCAGCATCAGTTTCTACTAACTGCTGGATGTCATGTGTACTACCTGATTACTCTTTCTCCAAATTTACTATATACTTTGTCTTGGAGTTTCATGTCATTTTACTGTAGAAAGCAATTACAGCAAAATGAATTTTGTCTATTAGAGTGACATATTTTCAAAGGTAAATATCTGTTTACATGTTTCAAGAGTTTGTCATGACAGTAATGAATCATTCATTATAATAAGTCCCCATTAAACATAAATACAATTGAAAAAAATAATGCATTAAACAATAAATGAAGACATTTTTAATTTTGCACAGAATAATTCTTATAGGGTAAGTAATATGTATGTTACTTTTTAGGAAGACACACACAAGGATATCTATTGTGGCATGATAGTTAGCCAGCTTATCTCACAATAACCAATTTAATAGTGTAAAGATGCTGATCTTCAATGGGAACTGTGTAACTGTAGCTTTATTCCAGACTAATTTAATCTTAAGATAATGCTAGCAAACCTGATGTAGAGCAATATTTACCAGGTTGTTCTAGCAATCTATCGATGATTCTCACTGAGTGATCCATGAATGTAGCTATGTGCTAAAAATTGTTTGAGCCAATAAATATTTTTTGTTCTTTTTACTTGTATTTTCATTAAGTTTAATTTATAAATTGTCTCCTTCGCAGAATGAAAAGTTGCCTCCTGCTCCATTCTTTAATCCACGCAAAAGACTACGAAAAGCTGTTGTTGCAGATCCTAATGCTGATCTGGAAAATCCAGGTGGGTCAGAAATGTGTGCTTAACAAAATGACAAGAGGATTGGATATAAAAACCTGGGTGATCAGTTTTCTAATATCACCCACCTCATGCTCTGATTTTGTTGGGCCATGTGAATATCAGTATAGTTGAAGTATAAACTACCGGTTGTCTCTGTGGGTGTTAAAGAAACACAACTCGACCTGAGCTGTGGCCCCATACCCCTCAGGAAGTCTACAGAACTTGAGAGCTGTAACCCCCATATCCCACAGTGAATCTACAAACTTGACAGCTGTGGCCCTATACTCATCAGGGAGTCTACAGAACTTAAGTGAGTGAGTAAAATGTGTGATAATTTAGGAGTGGTGATCAATTTCTTATTTAATTTTTTTAAGTATATTTTTCAATCGACTGTTGTATTCTGCTTGTTCATTGAATTGGTTTTACCCTTCCTTCTTTATAAAGATTTTCAGTCTACCTTCATCTTAAGAGACTCCCAAGTATACAAGGGAGATAATTCAAAAGATTTTTTCGAGTTGTTTCCCTGTAGACATAGAGTTATAGGAAAAATAAGCAAAAATGTGTCAATATTATCCCTCTCTCTTTCTCTCTCTCCCGGTACACACACACACACACACACACACACACACACACATATATATATATATATATATATATGTGTCTATAAAGGGTGTCTCAAGAAGTGTATACACACTTTTACAATGCTCAAGTTAATTTGCTTTCTTTTTAGATTTACATGTTAGTATTACTAATGTCATCCAGGATTAGCTTTGGACAAAGAAAGTTCACCATGAAATGTGACTGGAAGTGAGAAAATGCAGTTGAAGTTCAAAGACTGTATTAAAGAGAGTATAATTCAATCTCACAAATTTGAGATGTTTGAAGCTGATGGCACTGAAGAACCATTCTGGAAGACCCCAGATATCAACCATGCCCTTTTAAACCAAGAAAGGGTGATGAGAAGTTTTTACAGAAGTCCAAGGAACCTATTGAAATGTTGATGGCTGCTTGTGCTTCCATTGTGTCACAATGTCTGGATTCTAACCAATGTCAACTTAAAAACATAAAAACACGACATATCAATTCCTAGGAAATGACTGGCTTACAGCTACATCAGCAAAATTAAGTAACATTGAGTCTGGGTAGGTACCTAGATGACTTGAGAATCCCAGGTCCTGTAAGCTTGGATGTGCAGGTGGTGTAATGGAAATCAAAGAGCTGTTCCAATTCTAGTTGATTTCTTTATATTCACTTATGCACAAATACCCTTGGTAAAGGTATGAATCCATCTCTTCTTTCTCCATCAATAAGTTAATTAGTAGTATCATTAAGTCATTATATCACCAAAAATATTTTTACAATCTAAAATCATTTCTGGCTTTAAATAACTTACAAAAGATTGATAAGCTATAAAAACAATGGAAGAGGATTGTAACCTCTTCACTTTGTATAACTTATGGGTTGGCTCATCAATCCTCTTTGCAAGAGAGGTTGAAAGCATGACTAAATAATAATAATAATAATAATAATAATAATAATAATAATTATTATTATTATTATTATTATTTTATTTTCTTTGATTTCTGGCATTTACACATTTTTTTTTCCGGGTCCCTCCCAGGGACCTAAGGTTAGAAATGGCATCATGACACTTTCCACTGACAAAAAAAAAAAATTACATAGATAAAGCCCTTCATAAAAATGGGCTGTGGCAATTTTTGTATCTCTTTGAGGCATGGACTTCCACCTTCAATTAGTCTACTGGAAAATTAATTATTATTATTATTATTATTATTTCTGCTATGGAAACTACCTACCAAGTCTGCGGAAAGACCTAAGGCAGGTCATGGTGTGTTGTTATGGCCACATTTCATGTTAATTTAATTTTTTTTTTTTTTTTTTTTTTTTTTCCAAATTGCTAGCGTTACATAGACAAAGTTCTCCTTAGTGTGTGCTGTACTTAATAAGACAATTTTCTGTATGTCTCTTAAGCTGGGGTTTCAGGGATTCTTTCAATGTGTTGTTTTGTTCCATTTTTTATAATTCCAAGTGCACCTATTACCACTGGTATTATTCTTGTTTTTCAATTTCCAATTTTTCTATTTCAATTTCAGGTCTTTGTATTTTGATAGTTTTTCAAATTCCTTGGTTGCTATGTTACAATCCGCTGGACAAGCCATATCAATTAGTAGGCAAGTTTTTTCTTTCTGGTTTTTTTGACAATAATGTCCATTTATTTTGCTTCAATTTTTCTGTCTTGTGGATGGTATAATCCCATAGAATGGTGACATCTTCTATTTCTGTAACCGGCGCTGGCCGATGTTCATAAGTGTTTGCTTACACATTTTCCAAAGTGTTTGCACATTGTCCAGTGTAAGTATTGCCCCACTATTATTATTATCTTTATTATTATTATTATTAGAATTTGCAGTTTGATACAATCATTTGCTAAGTCTGCAACCTAAGGTATATTAAGGTTTTCTTCATCACCATCCTTTGACTGCTTAAATTGTCAGAGTGACCTAAGAGCAAAAGAAAACAGACAACCTTCAGGATGATTTGTTAGTGGTGACTCTCAGGAGTTCTGGCTTTGTCATGTCTGTCCACATTTTGACATGTTGTCTATCAGCTCTTGTGTTCTCATGCCTGACTGTGTCTGCATTCAACACTAACTTGTATTATGGTCTTGCAGAGGCTATTATATGCCATAAACTTGGTCTGGAAGCTGATGTTGCTCTTCCATATCTTTTCCAGTCTGGTCACCACTGCTGTGGCTGTGGCTATCCATGTGCAGATTTCTGTGTTGCAAGTGCCTTCTTTTGACAGAGTTACCCCAAGGTATTTGAAGCTGGACATTTTCTCCAGTGGTCCACACCCATGGCATTCCTTGTGCTATTCACCATTACTTCGAATTTCTCTGGGTTTTTTTTAGGTTTTCTCAGGAAGTTATTAAAAGAATTACTCTAAGTATGTGAGCAATACTCATTAACACAATATTTATATTGTTATTATCATTATTGTTGTTGTTATTATTATTATTGTTGTTTAAAATGGCCACCAAAAAGTTCCAATATACACCAGCCTTGTACAAACAAATGCAATGAAAACATTTTTAATTTAAGAACCTCTCATTCATGCAAAGATATTAACAGCAAGTAGTACTGCCATATGCTTATAAAATCGGTTGTAGAAATAACTACTGTAGGCATTCATTTATTTTGCAAGATAAAGATAACACCCTATTTGGTCAAAATTGAGTCTTTGATGATGAGACTAGAATGACTTCTTCAGAGTGCAGGTCTGGGTGATGGTATATGGAGACAACACAGTGCCACCTCTCAACCATATGAACAAGATCCAAATAAATGCAGGAGCTTAGCTGCAGGAGCTACCTGAAAGTTGTCAGTGTTGACAGCCAACCACCTTCAAGGCTCCACTTTGGGTTTTCTCACTGGATTTACTTCCATAGCCTTTTCCACATTTGGATATGACTACAAGACAGCATAGGTTTCAGTTATATACAGCAGTTGTATATGTATACAATCTAGGCTTGGGGATAAGATGAATGAAGTTTCTGTTTATGAAGTTCAGACATCTGTAAACATGCCATTGCAGTTTGTCAAAACCCATGACTGTTTTTGATTTATTTACTAAAATAACCAACACTATAAGCAGAAGGTAAGTAGCCACACAAAAAATGCTAAGTAGTCACTCATCTAGGTACTAACCAGGCTCAAAGTTGCATAACTCTGGTGATCATATGCAAACCAGTGTTTCAACATAATATGGTAGTAAGTCAGTCCTTTCCTAGGAATGAGGAAGTATTTTATTCTTACATTTTACATTCAGCCAAGTGTGAATTTCCCCTTTGCCTATATCTCCTGTACAGTCAGTACTTTACAACTGATACCATATAACTCACTACTACCTGCCTTGAATTATTTGGAGAGGAAACAGGCGGTTCTGAATAATTGTCATTGCTCAAAATTTGCTTGGATGCAACCAACATTGCAGCCTGATAATCATTTGTTATGGGACCAATCTTTTTTTCAGATCTGTTTAAATAAATACACCTTTTTTTCTTTTCTTTTTTAATCATTTCACTCCCAAGCAAGGCAATAAACACAAGGGGTTAATGAGTGTTAGAGAATATGAGAAAAGAACACTATTGAATAGAGAGAAAAATAAAAGAACAAGAATTAAGACAAAAGATAATGATTGACATTGCATTTAAATTTTTGAAGATCATAGTTGAAAGCAAGAAGCTGGAAGAGAGTTCCATACTGAGAACTTGAACTTGACAACACTTGATTTTTGTAGTTTTTTAAAAAAACATGGTGCTGACTTGATGGTCTGATATCAACTGTTTCGCTTTTTAAGTCTTTATCTTAAATAATCTGTAATATTATCATTGTAGATTTTAATGAGAAAAAGACTAAATTTCTCATACATAAGTCCAAATTTTTATTCAACCCTGGATGATGTGAGTCATCATCAACCAGTGGACATTGTTGCTTTGAAGCCTTCTCTAAACATGAACTATACATTCTTACAATGATGTACTAGTCTCTCTCTCTCTCTCTCTCTCTCTCTCTAAGTATGTGTTTATATATTTATCTGTCATACAGTTTTTCCCATGTGTGCACATCCAAGGCATAGCTGGGTCAACTACATGTTTACATATTAGTGGCAGCCAGTAACTGGGCAAAGCACAGATCTGCAAAATCTATTCTACTATTGTCTGGGCTTAGTTACATACTATAACTCAATAAGTTAATCAAGTGTGGCACCTGGTTTGCTTTCAAGAAGGCACAAATTTTAAAGTTCCTGACCCTCTCCCTATATTTTCCCTTGTCTCTGGGAAAAAGATTTTTGACAAGTTATAAAAAAACGATTATTACAAATTTTAGATTACAATACTGGAAGTACTTTAGGTTCTTAAATATTACCAAAGTGTACTGAGTTTTTTTTTTTTTCTGGTTTTTCTTGCAAAATATTGTTTTTCTGTCTTTCCCAATGAACACCATGAATTACCTAAAAAGTCATATTACCTTGTTTTTGTTCTTCTCATGACTCTATTCTCTGCTCAGACTAAAAAAAAGATTTCTAGTGTCAATATAGCATTATTTTTGTTTTGTGGCCGTCGTTGTTTAGGATAGGATTTCTTTATTCTTTAAGAAAGGAGAGATTTCTATTTAGGGTAAATATCATGACTGGTGCTAGATGCCGATTCCAATTGAGAAAATATCTTACATTTGGCACTTAAGCCACCTCACCTTAGTGGTGCTTTTATTTTTAATCCATATGCCTATATCTTTATAAGGTAGAAATGACTACAGCCTGAATTATTAGATTTGACAGCTTGTTAGATGCACTTTTCTCCAAAAATGGCTGAAAGTAATTGTTGAGTGACTTATGTATAAAGATGAAGTCTCTTATAGACTAAATATAGACAACCTTTGCTTTTATGAAGCCTAAGACCAAGATATTATTTTCTAAATCAATTCTTCTTCAGTTAAAAAATAAGAGCTACCTGACTTGGGACAAAAATTGTTCCTCTCAAAAATATAAAAACATATAAGATAAACACTTTTCCTCTTTGATGTATGAATCTACTCAGAATCAGTTTTTCTTGGTCTTAGCTTTTGGAATTTTGCAGCACTGGCTTTCCAGTTATTTCTACTTGTTTTGATGCAAAATTTAATTGTCTATCTTTTTAGACAGAATTCAGTGAAGCTTCTAAAACCAAGAAATTAGGTCTGCCTGGAAAGTATCCAGTCATAAAATATTTACAAGTTCAATCTCTGGTCTAGGTAGTGCAGTTTTAGACTCAGTGGAAACATGGTGAGCAATAACTGAATAGTAATAAAGGAATAAGTCAAGATAGCACTAAACATGAACAGTAGAATGAGAAAAGTCAACACCAGACCTGAATAATTAAAAGTTATAAACGACCACATTGACTGCAGAAAAGTATCTGTAGGATACAAGAGTAGATTTTTAGAGTTTATTAATGAGTGAACATTAGATAGAACCTCATATATACAGAGAGGAATGACAAGAAAATTCTTTCTTTTTCTATGGAGACTTAAAAGAATTGGTAATGATAATGGTAATATAAGTCATTTCTGGGCACCTCGGCATGGTGTAAGGCACCTCGGCGTGGTGTAATGGTTAGCAAGCTTGTCTCACTAGATCAGTTACAACTGAAAAGTGAGATCAATCCTCACTAGATGCCCCATACTTTTGGCCTTGTGCCACATCTAAGCTATGCTTGGAAAATAACTATAAGCCATTTCTTTATAAGAAAACATTTGGCATTCATTGACTGAGCAACCAGTGCTGTTTTTGGTTGAAATTTATAAAATCTTTCTTTTAAAACAATTTTTCCAGAAAATAGATTTCTCAAGTCCAGTAGGTGTTATCAATTTTTCTAGTATTGATGGAGCTTTCTTTCCTAACCTTTTATTTGAAGCAGTGGTGAATGTTAAGATCTTTGATTATTTTCTCATTGAGTTACATGTACTATCCATTTTAGTTGTTGCTGCTGTTGAAAGTCCTCAATTGATGTGTTATTCAGTCCAGTTCTTTGTTTTTGATTCTATAGCTCCACTCTAAAATGAAACCATTTTTTTACTATTGATCTTAGAAAGCAGTTGTATACAGCTGACAGTTTAGATATTTCTGAATGGATTTGGTACCATGTATGACATCTATATAAAAGTCTCAATCTGACAAGGCTGTTTAAGAACATGACTCTAGTTTCTAGGTTAATGTTTTGGTTTTGTAGCAATTTGTGGTATTGGGCGAAACTACCTCTAATGCAGCCTATTCTATGTTCAATTTCTTTTTCTCCTATATCAAATTTATTATACCTCAACCATACGACTAGGAATTTGAAAATTAAATACAAAGACAGTGAAATATTGGTTGATTAATGTAGTGCTTGCATAGAACTGAATTTCATATGCAACCTGTTGTGGATTTATTCTGATGATCACAAAAAAATTAACTATTTTGAAAACCTCCCACAAGTGACTGTGAGCTGTAATTTGTGTGGATCTTGTTTGCACATAGAGATCAAATAGTAAGGTTAGTTTTAAATTCTCTGAAGGTTACTCAGATTAAGAGATACCTGAGGAAGTATATACTATCATTAGGTCTATAATGATGAGAGTGAATAAAATGATTTCCTACATTATAGATATAATGATCATGTATGTAAGGATTAGAGTGAATAAAATTATTTCCAAGTTGATAGGATTATCATAGATTATTAATTTTTTTTTTATTTCTTCATTTTTTGCAGAAATTGGTTGGGACAGTTCCTTTGAAAACAACAATCACAGCATTAATAGGAAAGGTCAAAACTGGGGCCAACAGCATTACCCTGAGCAGAAGGCCTCTTATTCCTCCGCAAATTATTCAGCCACTTTTACATCTGGACAAACAAGATTATCAAATCCAAGTAAGACAATCATTGTTGTGCTTTTTATATAAGAACTCTTTCTATTAAGTATGTATAAAAGTTTGAAAAATGAAGAATAAGATATGCTTTTCCATTTGGACTAGAATCCTCATCTTGGTTGTTATATTCACAACATTTTGACCCTAATAACCTCCAACCTTTTTCAGGTGTCTGTCAGCATACTCGATAAACTTATTTGAATTTTTTAATTGATTCCTTTATTCAATTCATATGGGAAGATTGTTCTTGTTCTGCTTTCCATGCTTCAGAGAGATCCTCTGTATCAGTTAATTGTGTCTAGAACCAGGCTGTTGAGGGATTATCTTTGAAACTTTAACTATTCAAGTCACTAAAAGGCATATTTATTGGAGTCAGAGAATACAGTATTGATTGTAGTTGAATGATTAAGCTCAAAGTCAGATGGAGGAATAGCACAGAGTATGTGACTTGTAAACTACATGACCCTAGTGGTCATCAATCTCTGTGGAATGAAGACTTGAGGATAAGATGACTGAAAGTATCAACACATCTGTTAGACCCTGATAACCTCCTTGTTAGACCTAGCATTGCAATGAACACCATCTGGAAGTCTCTTAAAAAAAAAAGAAAGGACAATAAAATTTACATTACCTGAGAACAGAAATTAGGTTCAAGCCTCCAAAATTGTGCCACTGGATTGTCTAAGAGACATAGCCTTAAGGATTAAAATGCTGGTTTAAAACATTTCTTGTTCCTTGGTAACTGCGAGTTCAATCCCTGGCTGAAGTTGTGCTGAAAAGTCATATGCTCTGGTTAAGTGGAAGAAACAGACAAAAAAAAATGGAGAGAATTGATAAGAAATATACCCTGAGCATAAAAAGCAGAATGGGAATATTTCAAGGCCTCCACCGGTCATCAATGACCGTGGATTTGATCCCACCCATCTGCTTATCTAGAACATCGCCAATTGTGACTGAACAGGCCGATGTGTGAAGGCAGTCTGTCACACAAATCACACCTGTAAATTACCTGTGTGTTATCTATGCTGCACCATTCTTTCTGCAGGTCTGCTTGTCTTCTGCTGCATTGTTCAGTTTCTTCTCTCCTGACATTAGTTGTTTAGTCAGGTTGCTTCTCCATCCAGGACGGTCAGAAGCAAGCTCCTCCCAGTGGTACTGTTGATCTCAAGGGCCTTCATGTCCCTCTTACAGACATCTCTGTAGCATAACTGAGGATGACCAGGGTCTCTTTCACCATTTGTAAGTTCCCTGTAGAGGATGTCTTTGGGAATTTGACCATCGTCCATATGACAAACATGACCCAGCCATCAGAGACTGTGCTGTCTGAGCAGACTAAATATCATTGTTAGACCAGCATGACAGAACTTCACTGTTGGGCACTTTGTCCTTTCACGATATGCCCAGGATGTGGCAGATATACCTCAAGTGAAAAGTGTGCAGTCTCTTCTCCTGCTTGACATATGTCATCCATGTCTTACTCCCATAGAGAAGTGTGATGTAGGTATATAAGACTGCCATTTTTGTCTTGACAGAGGGCTAGGAGTTCTCAGACACACACTCATGTGATGAGGCAAGTGAATGTGGTTGCTGCTTTTCCAATCCTCTTGTCTATTTGTGTCCAGTTTGATGTTGCTGCTGATCGTAGACCTGAGGTACATGAACTGGTTCACAACTTCCAGCTTATAGTCATCAGTGATGATGAGTGGTGGCACATCTACATTCTGTCCTTGGACATTCATCTTTTTCTGGCTGATAATCAGTTCAAAGTCCCTGCAGGCCTCAGAGAAGTGATTCATCAGAGTCTGGAGCTCCTCTTGTATGTGGGTTGTGACTGCAGCATCATCCACAAACATCATGTCTATGCTCAGAGTCTCCTACACTTTTGTTTTGGACTTGAGGCATGCAAGATTAAACAACCTGCTGTCCAATCTAATGCCATAGATTGAATAAAGATTTACAGTTCAAAATCCCAAGATGGTTACAATGTACAAGCGGCATCTGAAGAGGCCATAGTTTGCAATATCCAAAATGTGACTATAACAGCCAAGATGAGTCTAATAATAACAATAAAAAAGCTGGGAAATTTTGCACATACCTAAAACTTCCACTTTTCCACTTGATAACAATGATCTCCAAATCAGTTTTCTCTTTTTCATTTCTCATTTGGTTGATTAATGTGTCTGCCATCAAATATGATGATATTACTTATATTGGTTCAGCACCTCTGAATAGAATCAATATATCTGTGTACTCAGCTTAAGATGAGAATGTAGTATCTGAGCACTTTGCATTAAGCAGCACATTTGTCTAAGATCAGCAAAGCTTCATTCTTGTACCTTCAGTTCAAGATTCAAGTATTTTAGTGTTTTTCTTTTTCAACTACTATTATGTTGGGTAAAATGTGGTGCCCTGCTCTTGTGTTTGAGCTGGAGATTCCAAATCTAGAGCAGCATCTCCCCATTGCACTATAAGAAGTTAGTCAATGTTTGCCAACAACTTCATGACACCGGTCACAAGTATTGAGCAATTGTTTTATGTATGTGGGCCTGCACATTAAAATGACTTTGTGGCAGTGGTGTGGCTAGTGTTTTTGCCACCCAGAGGCAAAGTTTTATCACCCCTGCCCAGAATGAATATATTACAATGCACATTAACCCCTTAAAGTTTATATATATATATATATATATATATATATACACAGTGAATAAGAAAATTATTTGTACAACCATCAATTTTTAATATTTTTATCCATTTGTTAGAATCTAATGCCCGTATGATACCAGGTTTTTTTTTCTATCTTAATAAGCCCACAAAAAGGAATATATATTTATTTTGTATTTGATACATAATTGTGGCACAAGGCCAAAGAGGTAACTGGGTTATGACTGGTCATAAATAACTATCCTAGTCCTATCTATTTATAACTCCGCACTGATAAATTTTGAAATAAAAGTACAATTGTGTTTATTTATTGATTGTTTAAAAACAAAATTGGGGATATGTACAAACAAAGATGTCACTTCTTTTTTCTAAATCAAAAAAAAACTTTTTATGATATTAAAAGAAAGATAACTTGTTTTTCTTTATATGCCCTCTGTTTTGTTTAAAAAGAAAAACAAAAAACACATTGTACTTTTCATTCATAATTTATCACTTTTTTAATATTTATTTCAATTCTAACAAGTGAGTCATAAATTAAATGCCACATTAACAGAAACACACTTCATTTTTCTTTTAACATGTAAAAAAATACAATATCGTTTTAAATTATTTTGTTTTCTGCAGTTGAAGTTATTATTAACAAAGTTGTAGACTAAGAATTAAAAGTCTGATAAAATTAATTTCACTTTTAAAAACTGAAGTAAATGTTATCATACTTTTAATTCTTAGTCTATTTTCTTAATAAAACTTCAACTATCTAAACAAAATATAAAAACATTACATTGTTTTACTACTGTGAAAACTTGTAAATTGAAAAAATGCCCATTTTTGGACTTTAAATAAAGTTTCTGCACTTAAATGTATATTAATTTCCAATTTTCTTTTAAACTTCCATTTGATATTTTCAGAAAAAATTGGAATACATGTGATATCCTTAAAGCATTGAAATTATTTCAGTTTATTTATCTGTCTATTTTATAATTTATGAAAAGTAACAATTTTATATCCATATTAAAGCTAGGCCTATAATAAAATAAAAAAATCAATTGGTTCACTTATTTCATTTTTTTGCTAACAGTTTAAAGACATGAAAAATCAAAATCAAAGAACTGACGCCAAAGATGTGAAAAAACTGTGGATTCACTAAATTCACTTAATCCAACCCCACATCAAGCCCTTTAAAATGTTAAAATTTTTTTCATACCTTTTGTTCACATCTTGTAAATGGGGTTTATCCCCATCAGCTGATAGAAAAATCTTTCTCCCATAATACTTTTTGTCATTTCTAGAAGGAAGCACAGAATGTTAAAGGAAACTTTTGAAAAGATATCTTTTGTTCTTTCAAGAGGGAAACAGAGAATGTTCATAAAGGAACTTTGGTTGAAGATGGAATATGAAAATTATATCTTTTTGCTGTTATTTTTTTTTAATAATGTTCATCCAATACAAGCCTCAAGAGTGACTCAATGTAGAGTGTTATTTAATGAGATGTCTCATATGAATGTAAGAATAGGAAATAGAAAGTGAAAATTATGTGGATATGGAGGATAGGTAATGACTCGACCCTTGATATTATAGGTTAAATAATTCTTTTTTGAATCTGATAACAATTGCATATAGATAAGATCATCCAATCTATCTATCTCATTCTGTTAATATCTATTTGTACTGAGGCAAAGCATCAGTGCCTACTATCTTAAATAGCCTTGAAGTTATTTGATCCTTGTCAGATAAGGCAAAATTTGTATAGAGTAAACATTAGTAAAAAAAATTTATCTATGTTGGTTACTTACTTTCTTGCCTTGAATGCAGAAAGCTATGACCCACTTGCCTGTATCCCTTTTCTATGTAAACACTATTTCTATTTTATAAACTGTTTTTGATTTATTACTGTCTTAAAGTTGTTTGGTTTTGACTTGCATTTTATATATATATATATATATATATATATATATATATATATATATATATATATATACATACACACACACACAAAAAACTATTCTTAGCTGACATATTTCATTATCTGAGGGACTTTGTCAAAGCAATGCCTTGATAAAGTCCCTCAGATTGGTTAAGATAACATTTTGGTTAAGAATAGTTTTCTTCTTGTCTCTTTTTATTCATTTCATTACTTTACAGATACATTCTATCTAAAAATATTTTATTTATATATATATATATATATATATTTGTCTGGTTTATATCATTTTAGCTTACTCTTTTTCTTTTTTCATCTTCAACTTTTTATTATTGTTAATTGGGAATTTTTTCAATTCCAGTTATTGAGAATTTTACGAATTGTCTATTGATAACTTTGTTGATTAATATTAATCATTC